AAAAAAAAAATCTAATCGTCTGTCTGTTGTACAGTATTTATGATTTCGTTATCTGATTGGTCCGTTACTTGTAATATCGGTGGTATTATTTTTTCATGAGTCTTTTGATTTTTTAATTCTTCTTTTTTCTTTGCTAGCTTTGCTATTTTGTCACTTGCTCTTATTTGCCTAACGGTGTCTAAAGCATCTGGGTACCACCATTGTTTGGTAAAAATTATTACGAATCGTGGTAAACCAGATAATAAAATCGAAAATGCCATGCCAAACCAAAATATACCATCACTAAATAACTGTTCAGCTATACCATATATTGGACTTTCTGGAAAAAGACCATACATAAGAACATAAACAAAAATAAAAACAAGTTCAACACTTATTATTGCCCATATTATCCGACTCCAGTGATATGTGTTAAAACAAACAAAAAGGTTTGCAATAACAACTACAGTTATAGCAACTGCGGTTGAGAACTCGATGTTACCAGCATCGTACCCTTTGGACGTGGTGACATTAGTAGACAATGAATATATAAAATAAAATGTGAAATATACAACCAATGACTGCCATATTCCATCAAGAAAATACAGTGCAAATAATTTTTTAGAATAACGCATTCTTCTTATTCCCAAACTATAAATGATTGGATATTTTAAGCAATATGATGCACTAACTGACTGATCAATCGTCCCTTTAAAAAAAGAAAAAGAAAAAAAATTAGCGAATTTCATAAAATAAACAAAGAATTGAAACAAACTTTACCTAAAGCTATAACAGGTGCGACAGTAAAAAACAAATTATATAATTGTACAAAACTATAATCATAGAAAATATTGGCGGAGAACCTAGATTACAAAATACGTGAAATTATTATTATCAAGCAATTAATAAGTGTACAATGTTAACGTGTATATATACAGTATATATATATATATATTTATTTATATCGAAATACTCACATGCAATAGATTTGGTACCATAATACCGGAAATACCCATATTACGTTTTTATAAAAGAAATTTAATATCATCTCTGAAATGCGCATGTAATCCCAATGACCGTGTACAAGTAAAAGTTTGTTAAGATATCGAAATTGGGCAATATTATAATCTGCTGCCATTGCCGCTTGCATTCCTATACGATTAAAAAAAAATATATATATATAAGATGCCGATAGTGCAAAATTTATAAAGCTTTAAAAATGATTAAAAGTATGTTCAAAAAATATTACCTTCTTGTCCCGAAATGCCAACACCGACATTAGCGGCTTGAATCATGCTCACATCATTTGCACCATCACCTATTGCTAGTGTTGTGGACTTTTTTCCTCTTCGTACTAATTCTACCACCAGGGCCTTTTGTAAAGGACTAACACGACAACATATTACCGAATGAAAATGATCAGAC